ACTTCAACTCCCAGAATTCCCTGGCTATCATACTAATGAATGTTAAGGTGGGTGAACTTCAACTCCCAGAATTCCCCAGCCAGGTCTAATCCATTTGAAGAGCCTCAGATTTGGGGCAAATTAAGCCAAATGCCCTTCGCTCTAATCTCGCAGAGGCCTCCTGTTCCCCCCCCCCCCCCCCACACCCACACAACTGAAAACCCCACCCGTTCGAAATACCCCCCTGTTCTTCACCTGCTTGGCTCGATCGGGGTTCATGGTGGTCTGTGGCTGTAGGATATTGACGGATTCGGGTTTCACAACCGACTGGGGGATTTCTCGAACCTTCTCAGCAATGAAGTTGTGGACGGCGTTAAGGGCTTCGGCGGTGCCTTGCACCAGGCATACCCGCTCCGTCGTCCCTGCGTGGAGGGGGAAAAAAATAAATCACATTTTAAAACGGGACTCTGGGAGAGGTTGAGGTCAGCTGGGTCCCTTTTCCTGGGCCTCGTTTTGGAGGGACAAGCGACCACAAACCGCTTTGGATAGTGAGAGGGCAGCATATAAATTGAATGCAGGCGGTCCTGGACTTACAACCGTTCACTGAGTGACTGTTGGAAGGAACAGCGGCACTGGAAAAGTGATTTGTGGCCGTTTCTCACACTTATGACCATTGCAGCATCCCCCTGGCCACCTGGTCAGAATTCGGACGCTTGGCAACTGACTCATGTTTATGACGGGGTCATGTGATTTTCCCCCTTTTGCGTACTTCTGATGAGCAAAAAGCAGATTTGAACCTGATGACTAACTTTACAAGTAGGCGGGGCAGAGATTCGCTTAACAACCATGACAAGAAAGGTCGTAAAGTGGGGCAAAGCTCACGAGAGCTGTCTCGCTTAGCAAGAGAAATTGGGGGAAGGGGTTTCAACTGCGGTCGTAAGTTGAGGACCAGCTGTCTATAAAACTCAGAGCAAAGACAGGAAAAAAGGCATTGGGGAGGAGGATCTGCTCGCTCGATCCATCCCCCCAGGATTCTGGATTCAAGGATCTTGCAACAAGAAAGATTCTTCTTCTCTCAGCTGCTCCCTGACCCCACTTCTTGCAAATAAGGAGCCCAAGGTTTCTGGACCCCAATCCTGTTTTTTAGGGACCCCCCCCCCAAATGGACAGTCCAGCTTGCCTGCCTTCTGTTTCGTGTAGGAAAGACGGAGCAGCCTAACGTTTCTTTTATTGGGATTCCTTTTTCTTTGGGTGGGTTGACACCCAAGTTCAAAGCCCAAAGCAAAACAATCCCAGGGTCCTTCCATCCCAGAATCCTTGCCCTTGGGATGACAGGACCCCGCCCACTTGCCCCCTGGCCCCGCCCACTGCAGCTCTGGTTCTCCCCATGTGGCCAGGTTGTTATTTAGAGGCGATGATGATGATGATGAGGAGGAGGAGGAGGAGGAGGAGGATGCCAACGTTCCCAGGACTTTGAGCAGGCAGAGCAGGCACCTCGACACGCAACTTCAGGGAAAGGAAGAAGGAAAGGCGCAGAGCGAGGGGAAGGATGCCTCTGAAATGGAAAGGCAGGAGGGAAGGAGAGAAGAAAGGAAGGAGAAGGAGGGAAGGAGAGAAGAAAGGAAGGAAGGAGAGGGGGGAAGGAAGGAAGGAAAGAAGAGAAGAAGAAGGAGAAAATGTTAATGGGTAGAAGATATATATAAATAAACTGCTAATTGGCCTATTGGGGAGAAGGAGGAAAAATAGGAGAGAGAGAAGGAAGGAAGAAGAGGAAGAAAAAAAGAGAAAGAAAGGGAGGAAAAAGGAAAGGAGGAGGAGGAGGTAAGGATCTCTAGTCGACTGAACCCTCCAGCAAATTGCTTGCCCCCACTCAACTCCCCCCCCCATCCCCAAAATGGGTCCCCGCATCCCCAGCTTCTCTTCCCCTTGCGATTGTCATGGCAACCCACGGCTGCTCTTCCCGCCCCCTGCCACCTCCCAATCGGCTGGCCTCCAGGGCCCATTGCCACGGCAACCGGCACCCCCTCAAAAAGGAGGCAGCTTGGTGGGGGAGGGGAAGGAGGCTATCGCCAAGGCAACCAGAGGATGATGAAAAGAGGGGACCACTTTGTCCACGTGGCCTTGGCAGGGGCGGGGGGGGGGGGGAGGGAGGGGGAGCAGCCCTCTCATCTTTTGCCGGGGTGTCTCATCCAAAGCCAGCTGGGCTGTGTGTGAAAAACAGGCATTGGGGAGGAGACAAAGCCCCCCCCCCAACAATATTGGAACCCCCAGCATCTTATATTGGGAGTGGGGGGAGGCATTCCTGGTTGATGGGAAGCTGCCACGGTGGATGTGTTCCTGAGCATGTGCAGCATGTGCTTCTCTGCACCTCTGGAATTAAGGAAGAGATACCTTCCACCCTCGAGATGGGTCTCCCCCTGGTTAATTGTTCTCACTATCAGGATGTCTCTCCTTCATTCCAGGTTGCTTCTCTGAATAGAATAGGATAGGATAGGATAGGATAGGATAGGATAGGATAGAATAGAATAGAATAGAATAGAATAGAATAGAATAGAATAGAATAGAATAGAATAGAATAGAATATAGAATTGAATGGAATGGAATGGAATCGAATGGGATAGGATAGGATAGGATATAGGATAGAATAAAGCTGGAAGGGACCTTGGAGGTCTTCTAGTCCAGCCCTCTGCCCAAGTAGGAGAACGTAAACCACCTCAGATAAGTGATTGTCTAGTAGTCTCTTCTTAAAAACCTCCAGTGATGGAGCACCCATGATCTCTAGTGGCAGGCTGTTCCCCTGGTTAATTGTCCTCCCTGTTTGGAAGTTTCTCCTTCATTCCAGGGTTGCTTCTCTCCTGGGTGAGTTTCCCTCCATTGTTTCTTGTCCTGCCCTCCGGTGCTTTGGAGAACAAGTGGACCCCCTCTTCTTTGGGGCGGCCCCTCCAATACAAGAATACTGCTACCCTGACCCCCCCCCACACACACACACACACCAGCCCTTCTTTTCTCTAGATCGGCCACGCTCAATTCCTCCAACTGTGCTTCATCGGTTTCACATCTTCCCCATCGGCTCCAGGCCTCCCCATCCCTGGAGGGCTGCCTCCCAGCCTCATGTCCTGCCTCATGTCACCTTATCACCAGGCGCATTTCCTGCCATTCAATCCGTTTCCCTCCCCCCCCCCCCTCACTTGCCGGCCGGTCCAGCCCTGCCCGACCAGCCCTTCCTGTTTCCTTTCCGTTCACCCAAAAAACGCCGTTGCTTCAAAACATCCCACGCAAAACTTCTGCAGAAGGTCCCAAGCAAGCGGTACTTTCCAAGGATGCAAATTGGGGGCGCAGGATGATTGTAGCACCCCTGGTTGGGATCCAGAGGAGCCCCCCCCCTTTTTTTTCTTGCAGGCTGCCACTCCCTACCCCCCCCCCTTCCAAATGAGGGGGCCCAGATTTTAAAAACCCAGAGGCCGTTCTCTGTCCTCAGCAACAGAAACTGGAAATCTGGGCTGAGTTTTTCACCTCTGCGTTTCCGATGCCAGCATTTCTGTCCAGGGAGTCCTCGAGTTACGACCACAATGGAGCCCAAAAGTTGGGTTGCTAAGGGAAACGTTTGCTAAGCGAGTTTGGCCCCCTTGAACAAACATGTTCTTGCCACCGTTGTTAAGCAAATCGTTGCATTTGTTAATGGCCATTAAGTGAATCTGTCTTTCCCCATTGACTCTGCTGGTCAGAAGGTCATAAAAGGATCATGGGACACAGTGATTGTCATAAATACGAGCTGGTTGCCCAGCACTGAATTTTGATCACGTGACCCTGGGGAATGCCGCAGCGGTCGTAAGTATGAAAAAAGGCTCCTAAGTCTTTTTTTTTTTTTCACGCCATTGTAACAGAACGGTCACGAAACAAACGGTTGAGGCCTCTCTGAATTTCTGCTTGAGCTCTGCTGAGGCGGTGAAGCCTCGTCTTGCAGGGGCATGATGGGAATTGTAGTCCCAAAGCCCCCAGAAGGTTCTGAGGAGGGGAAAAAAAAAAACCAGTCCAGCTCTCGCCTTCCACCTTCCTCCTGACTTTGGACCTCTTCCTTCGCCTCGAGCTTTGTGCCATTTCCCTGCCCAGGCCGGCCACCCTTGCCAACCCTCCGGCTGGCACCAAAGGCTGCCCTTCCATATTCGGAGAAGGGCCAGCCCGGCAGCGGGAGCTGCAACCGCTGGATTTGTCAGCCGGATTGCCCAGGGGGTAGGAAGACAGCAGCCCTCCCTGGGATTAATCTCTCCCTCTCTCTCTCACACACACACACACACACAACGCCGGGTGGAGATTTTTGCAAAGGCAGGGAGCTTTTTTTTTTGCAAATGCACCGTCAAGGACACCCAGCTCTGCCTCTTCTTCGCGCTACGTTTCTACAGCTGCCAAAATCCTGTCAAATAGAGAGGGGTTCCCTTCCCCTTAGGAGGAAGAAGGGAGGGGAGGGAAGGGAAAGGCAAGGGGGGGGGGCTCCCTCCCGGAAGCTGCTGGCAAATAGGGCACCTGCTCCCCATCGCCATGGCAACACCATCCAGGCCGATTTCTCTTCCCCCCCCCCTCTCTCTCTCATCCGCCCAAGCATCCTTTATTTATTTATTTATTTTATTTATTTATCTGTTTATTTATTTATTTATTATTTTTGCGTCAGGGAGGATTTCCCGGCCGCTCTAAACCAGCGGTCGAGGGTTGAAAAGGCAAAGCGGCTTAGCAGAGCTGCCCCACCCGAAGACTGTGTGTCCTTCAATCCCAGCTGGCATTAAAGAGACCCAAAAAAGCGGGCAGGAGAAAGGAGACGTGGGCTCATCGAGGTCCTCACTGGCAGCCTGGCCTTGCGTGCTCTTCCATGCCCCCCACCCAGTCGGTTCTGACCCGGCTCCCCAAACACGACAAACCCTCTGTAGTTGAAGCGGTGATTCCTTTCTTAGGAACGCTGGCAGCCCCGGCACAAAGTTTCTCTCTCAACGCCAGCTAACAAGTCCGTCTGGCAGGGAGTGGAATAGTCGTCTGCTGCATCTTTTCATCTCCACCCCCTGCCTTGCATCCCCAGAACTAGGGGGGGGGGGCTTCACTAGCAGTGGTGGCTCTTCTGTCCCGAGGACCGGCTCATAGATTTCCACTGCTCTCCTCTCAGTGTTTCTCAAACTTGAACACTGCGGACTTCAACTCCCAGAATTCCCCAGCCAGCTAAGACAATTAGCAGTTGGAAGTCCACAGCCTTAAAGTTCACCAGCATGCCAGCTGGGGAATACTGGGAGTTGAAGTCCACCCGTTTTAAAACTCAACAGCATCCTGGCTGGGGAATTCTGGGAGTTGAAGTCCCCACTTTTTAAAGTTTGCTAGCCTGCTGGCTGGGGAATTTGCTCAATTAAAGAAATAAATATTAAATAATTGAATTAAATTAAAGAACTAAAGAACTTACAATTGGCTTCAGGAGGAAGAGAGATGTACATTTACCATTGTACATAAATGGCAAGGAGGTGGAGAGGGGTGGTAGTTTTAAATTCCTGGGCACTTCTATCTCGGAGGATCTCTCGTGGACTATGAATGCTAACATGCTTGTAAAGAAGGCACAGAAGAAGAGGCTGTACTTCTTGAGAATGCCCAGGAAGATAAACCTATCTCAGTCTCTACTTCTGTCCCACTACCACAGCACCATTGAGAGTGTCCTGACATAGGGCATTCTTGCATGGGATGGGAGCAGCTCTGGAGCAGACAAAAAAGCTCTACAGAGAATCATTAAAACTGCCCAGAATATCATCGGGCTCCAGCTACCAGCCCTGGACGACATCTTCGCATCTCGCTGTTTGAGGAAGTCGCACAATATTCTCAGAGACTCTTCCCATCCTGCTCACAATCTTTGTGAAGTTGTTGCCTTCTGGCAGAAGATACAGAACAATTAAAACTCGGACCACACGTTTTCTGAACAGTTTTTACCCCAGAGCTATCATTGCACTTAACAATGAACTTAAGGACCACCATCAGTGAGCTGTTGGACGGTATTTCTTGGTCTGTTGTGTGGAGGCTTGTGTGTGTATTTTAGGGGCGGGGAGTTTTCATGGGTGCAGGTGTGTTTGTGGATTGTCATGTGTGCATGCGCATTGGGTCTGGTCTCTGTGTGTTATGTGAATTTCGTTGTATGCATACTGTATATATATATATATATATACATACAATGACAATAAAGAATTAAATTCAGTTGTGGTCATAAGCCGAGGACTAACTTGCATTCCATTTTGGAACCCCGAAACGTACCAAGCGCCCCAGAATATTTAGGGGGAAAAAATAAAATCGTATCCCGGGAGCAAAATAACACCTGCAATTTTAACGCATCTCCGCTGTGCTGGGCTAGAGAAAGGCGGATTGGTCCACTCACCTGGATAGAAATCCTTGGATTTGGAGAGCTTAATGGTGGCTCCCGTTTCCTTCTGCAACTGGACGATGGTTTGGCCCCCTTTGCCGATGATGGATCCGGCGGCATAGCTGGGAATCAGGACCTTAAGGAAGTACTCGCCATCTTCTGCAGGAAAGGAAACAAGAGACAAAAATCTTGTGAGGCATCGCAAAAGAAGTCTCAATCAAGCGAAAACCTTCTCCGGCTGTGAAACGACAGCTAGTCCTCGACTTACGATAGTTCCTTTAGCGACCAAAGTTACAACGGCACTGAAAAAAGTGACTTATGACCCGTTTCCAAGCCTTGCAGGATTCCCATGATCCCCAAACTTGGATGCTTGGCAATTGGTTCATACAGGTAATCCTTGACGTATGACCACGATCGAGCCCCAAATGTCTGACGTTAAGGGAGACATTTGTTACGTGAGTCTTGCCCCCATTTTACGGCACCGTCATAAGTGTGAGTCAGTTGCCAAGTGTCTGAATTTGGATCACGTGACAGTAGGTCATAACTGTGACAAATAGTCATGTCCCTTTTCTCAGAGCCATTGTAACTCTGAACGGTCACTAAATGAACTGTTGTAAGTCGAGGACTGCCTATATTTATGACGGGTGCCGTGTCCTGGGCTCACACGATCCCCTTTGGCCACTTTCTGACAAGCCAAGTCGATGGAGAAGCCGGATTCGTTTAACGGCAATGTTACTAACTTAGTGACCGCAGTGATTCATTTAAGAGCTGTGGCCAGCGAGGTCGTATAATGGAGCAAAACTCACCTAACGACTGTCTTGGATAGCAAGGGATATTTCGAATTCAGTGGTGGTCCTAAGTCAAATACTATCCGATTGTGCCCATCAAGGAATTGTCTCTTTGTGTAAAGGGTGATAAGGAAGCTGCAGGTTGGATCCCGTCTTTTAATTTCTTTTTATGTGTTTATTAGACTAGAGGTCTAATACTCTGAGAAGCTTGCAAACTTTAAAAGCCAGTAAGCATGAAAATAATAAATAGCAACAAGAAGAGGCGAGGTCTTGTCTTAACCCAATCCAGAGGTGGCCTTCAGCCGGTTCTGACCAGTTCTGGAGAACCAGTAGAGGAAATTTTGAGTAGTTCGGAGAACTGGCAAATACCACCTCTGACTGGAGATTTTACAGTATCCTAACCTTCCACTGCCACGTCCACCAAGCCACGCCCACAGAACCGGTAGTAAAAATAAGTTGAATCCCACCAATCCCCTTTCTCCCCGTAGCTGCAGCCCCAGCATCGAACTAAAGACCCCTACAAATAAATTAATCTGCAAAAAGCTAAGTCACATTCTCCAGGGAACAGCCCATTCCACAGTCAGCTTAATTCTCCAACTCAGCACTGAATCTGGAACAACAATTAACAACTTAATAGCCATCAACACCCTAATTAACAACTAAAAGCTGCACACAACCAGGCATCATATAAATACAACGGGTAGAACAGTCAGAATAACAGAATAACAGAGTTGGAAGGGACCTTGGAGGTCTTCTAGTCCAACTCCTGCTCAAGCAGAGGACCCGTACAATTCCAGACAAATGGTTGTCTAATAATCTCTTCTTAAAGATCTCGAGTGTTGGAGCAGCCACAACTTCTGGTGGCAAGCAGTTCCACTGGTTAATTGTTATCACTGTTGGAAAATTTCTCCTTAGTTCTAAGTTGCTCCTCTCCTTCATTAGTTTCCATCCTTTGCTTCTCGTCCTGCTTTCAGGGGCTTTGGAGAATAAGTGGACCCCCTTCCTCTTCTTTGGGGCAGCCCCTCAAATATTGGAACGCTGCTATCATGTCCCCCCTTAATCCTTCTTTTCATTGAACTAGACAGACCCAGTTCCTGTAACTGTTCTTTATGTGTTTTAGCCTCCTAATCCTCTTTATTGCTCTTCTCTGCACCCTTTCCGGAGTCTCAGCATCCTTTTTTATAATACAATGATCCAGTGCACACATTCTGGAGAAAGAGAAGTTCCCAGAGTCCAGTATGAGCCTAAAACCTCCGGGTTGGTCCCCAGGACCGACTCAGATTGGATCCAGGGATTTACCTTCGTTCACAGTATTTCTTTTTTCTTTTTTAATTTACATCCTGTTATTTCTAGCACTTGTGAATATTATGGGGTGACCCAGGTATCCTTAAGGGCCAGAAAGCAGGAAGAAAATATTTCTCCATATTTTGAGAAGGTCAGCTTCTGGCTAGGAGATTTCCCAACTTTTAAAGCTGCAGATAGAAACAGAGCACCAAAAACCACCAGTGACGTTTTTTTTAGGACTGGTGGGGCCATAGCTGGAGAAACTTCAGCAGCCTGGAGGGGGGCCTGAGGAAGAAAATTATGACCCTATTGAGGCCCGCAGGAACAAAATTGAATTTTCTGCCTGGGTTTTAAGACACAACATGCTTCATAAATGCCCTTTCAGCCTCATTCCTGTCACCTGTTCCCATCAATCCCACTCAGCTTCTCCCAAAACCCACCGGTTTTGCAAAGCCGAAGCAATAAAACACCCAGCTTGCTCTGCAACCAAGCAAATGTCACTGATTTATTTGAAAGAAGGGACTTCGTAAGCCTGGTATCCAAGTTCCTTACTTAAAAGATGCCATGTCTCTCCTTTGATATGATCTGATCAGTTCGGTTTAGTTCTATTCCTATTCCTGTTCCTATTCCATTCCAATCCATTCCATTCTATTCTACTCTATTCTATTCTTATTTTATTCCTATCCTATCCTTATTTTATTCTCCCTATAGTTTACAGACTGGAATATTCTATAAACCCTATTCTATATTTTATTCTACTCTATAAACCCTATAAATGGCACAGGGTTTCCTGCTGGAGCAAGGGTTGGACTAGAAGACCTCCAAAGCCCCTTCCAATTCGGTTGTTATTCAGTATTCCATTCCGTTCCACAACCCTGAGGACTAGAAGCTTGGGCTCTGGTTCTAAAAGTTGAATGAACCTCCTTCCATTCCTCACACCCTTTGCCCCCACACCCTCACTTTCAAACTCCTCCCTGGGACAGTCCTCTAGAAAGTCAGTGGCGACGGTGGTTTTCTTACACGTGTGTGAATGGGGCCGTTTCATTCATCCTTGCATTGCAATCCAAAGCTCTGCAGCTATTTCCAGTGCCGGGGGAAAAAAAACAACCAATCCTGAAATGGTAGGTTTGAAGCAAAGTGGCCTTTCCGTAATTTAATAATCAGTAGCCTAATCGAGTTTGCTCTGTCTGCTCAAAATGAGAGTTTCTTTAAGGGAGGAGGAGGAGGAGGAGGAGGAGGAGGAGGAGGAGGAAGAATGCCCTTACGATTTCATACAAGAGACTCAAGCCAGCTGAGTTGGGATGAGCATGCTAAGCCACCAGCCTCCAGGGCTGTGCTTAAAATATTAATTTTACACTGAGGTTTGCCCTGACTCCTTAGCTCAAGCCTTTCCAGATATTTGGATAAAGTTGGTGGAGAAAATTGATGGGGTTGGATCCGGCCTGGGGGGCCGTCCTGGACTACCCAATGTGAAGAGGAAACATGCCAGCAATTTGGGGAGTAGTGTCAAACTAGCCATGCCCACCCAGTTGGTCGCCCCCCCCCCCCATAGCCTTGACGGGGACCTCAATGAAATTGAGTTTGACACCCCTGGCCTAAATGGACGCAACTCGGTTTAGAGAGGGAAGAACTCAGCTCTTGGGAGCCAGAAACTGTTGAGTTGCAGGCTAGTCCTTGATTTACGGTCAAGGAATACAGGCTAGTCCTTGACTTACGGCCATTTGACGAGTAACCGTTCGATGTTACAACGGCATTGAAAAAAGTGACTTATAATCGTAGTTTTTTTTCACACTTAAGACTGTGGCAGCATCCCCGTGGTATTTCTTCTTTTTTTTTTAAGTTTAGATTTTTATTTTTAAATATACATCAATATCAATACATGAACAGTGTGGCCTCTGGGTATAATTCATTTTGATACAAGTAGCAATAATAATATTAATAATATTTGTTGCATTAATCAAACTTACGTAATCTTAGTATTAATATACAAGTTTGTTTTGAAGTAGTTATACAATATTTCAATGTGCCATTTTAATGCCAATGAAATTATTTCAGCGTACATAGTAATTCCATCTTTCAACCTCTAATCTTTCCATCTCGTTATGGCTTATATGCTATTATATAAACATTATATATGCTCATATTTGTTCTATATTTCCCTGTATTTCTGATGGTCATCCAATGCCTTGGCGCCCATCTCACGGTTCAAGGCACCTATGGAGTCTATAAGCAAATTTGACTTCTCTCCATCCGTCCTGCTTACAATCCCCTCTCAACACACACACACACAATTGCAATGACAACAAAAAAATTAAATCCGTTTTGGCGTTTGTCCGGGGAAGCATATGGCGAGCGGCGCAGAAAGTCTGCTCTTATCCGGCACTCCAAATCCATCCCTTCACTTTCGCTCAGGAGTATCTATTTTTACCTGACCCGAATGGAGGGGTTGCTCTTGCACAGAGCTTACTCCAGGAGGAGGCTGACCTACTTCTCCTGCCTGTCTCACCTGTGCTCGGGGGAAGGAGAAGCGATGGCTAAGCCGGGGAGAAGGAGAACATGTGATCTGCTCCCCCCCCCCTTGCAAAACTCTGGTGCTAAATGAAAGCCTCCCATTGAGAGTGGGATTCAAACATTTTAGCAACGGGTTCTCTGCCTGGTTGCTGGGTGGGCGTGGCCTAGTCGGTCTCCTGCACCACGGCAGGGTGGGGGGGGGGTGCCCTCCCTGGGCTCCAGAGGCTTTCCTCGGGCCTCCGGGAGGGTGAAAATGGCCTCCCTGGCTCCGGAGGCTCTCGGAAAGCCGGAAACAGGCCCATTTCTGGCCTTCCCAAACTTCCGGAAGGCCCGTTTTTCACCCTCCCTGAGTCTCTGTGCACGCCCTGCAGTGACCTGCATCCAAAATGGGCCATGTGGGGACTCCTGGGGAGGGGAGGGGAGGGGGAAGGGTGGGAGGAGCCAGCCAGGAGTGGGATTTGGAGGTTCTCTGAACTGCACAGAATAGCTAGGGGCTCTCCAGAACCCCTGCGAATCCCTAGCAGCCCAAACCCCCTGCCTTCCATTGAGATCGCAGCAGATCCCTCGTTTGCACATGCACACCAACACACCTTCTTCTCTTCCCC